TATGTAGAGCTTGCTTAATATAAAACAGGGGTAGGCAACCTATGCCACGTGTGCCAAAGGCGGCATGCAAGCTGATTTTCAGTGGCACTCACACTGCCCGGGTCCTGGCCACCGGTCCGGGGGGCTCTGCATTTTCATTTAATTTTAAATGAAGCTTCTTAAACACTTTAAAAACTGTAGTTACTTTACATACAACAATAGTTTAGTTATATATTATAGACTTCTAGAAAGAGACCTTCTAAAAACGTTAAAATGGATTATTGGAACGCAAAACCTTAAATTAGAGTGACTAAATGAAGACTCGGCACATCACTTCTGAAAGGTTGCCGACCCCTGTTATAGAAGCTTCCATTGCCTTTTGAAATTGAAGACTGTAACTCGTCTGCCTCTGCTTTAACCTGCTTTAACTTTGTAAACTATTCTCATTTTGTTTTAAATAAATCTCAATACAGGTTATGACAGGACTGGCTACAAGTGTTGTCTTTGTGGGAGATCTAAGATTCAATTGACCTAAGGAAGTGACTGATCCTTTGGGACTGGCAGTAACCTGAACATTGCTGTGATTCGTGGCGTAAGGCAGTGGTTCTCAACCAGGGGTCTGGAGCCCGCTGGGTGACCACGAGCAGTTTTCAGGGGGCTGCCAAGCAAGGCCAACATTAGACTTGCCGAGGCCCAGGGCAGAAAGCTGAAGTCCCAGCGCATGGGGCTGAAGTCCAGGGCCCCGAGCCCCACCACAAGGAGCTAAAGCCTAAGCAATGTAGCTTTGTGGGGGCCCCTGTGGCATGGGGCCCCAGGCAGTTGCCCTGGTTGCTACCTCCTAACGCCAGCCCTGGCTTTTGGATGCAGAAAGCCAGTATTGTGGCCCACATGGCCCATGGAGTTTTTATAGTATGTTGAGGGGGGCCTCAGAAAGAAAAAGGTTGAGAACCCCTGGAGTACGGGACCATCTGTCACAAAGGTGAGCTCACCTGTGTGGTGAGATATATGGGATGACCCAAGGGAAGTGTCTGTGATTCTACATTAATGCTGTTACAGTGCCTGAAGCGTTTACAGTGGATACTTGGTTGGTGAAATCTACATATAGACCTCACAACCAATTTGGGGTTTGTTCCCTGCTTCTTACCAGTCTGCCTGAGGCAGCTGCTCATGCCCTCAAGTCACTGAAGACAGTGTTACAAAGACTTACGGGCACAACACCACCAGCAGCAATTGGCAGCAATGCAGAGCAGGCTTTACAGTGACACAGCGTGGGCCAAATGGTCCATGGACTCAGTCAAGCCGCAGTTCTCCGCCAGTGCACGTCAGCGTCCCGGCAACCTTCAAGGAGGGTCAAGACTGCCACGCCTAGAGTGATGATGGATCTCCAGCATAGCATCACCCGCGCCCCATGACCCGCCTTGACTCCTGAGACAGAGGTGAGTGACAGAGGGTGCACAACGGATCTGGGGGGGTGGGGGTGGGAAAGAGATAACAAAACACACCTTCTAGGGGTCACCCCTCATGAAGTCAAGGTAACAGGCACTGTGGTGGCAGTAAAGTGGAGGGGAGGGAGTGGGAGCAGGAGGGAGCAGCACCCTCAAAGGCAATGCTGCCAGTGGGTCACCCCACCACATCAGGCATGGGGCTGATAGGGGGCCATTCCCTGGGCCTGGATGCCTGTGAAGGGCAATATAAACCCCTCGCTGGCACAAAAGGGGTTAAACTGCTTTAGTCTGGACTGGCCCAGCTCCTCCACACCTGCAAACCATGCCAGGACTGGAGCAGGAGATAACAGGAGAGACCTACTCTACTCAGACGGTGGCAACCCTGGGAACAGTCTGTGGAGCATCTCCAGCCCCAAAGAGAGGGCTGGCAGCATTCGGGGCTCTGGCCTTCACTGAGGGAGGCCCAGCAGTTGGGCACCGGTTTGATGGGCAGGATGGCCTCTCATTGGGGACTGCCAACAGCCTGGCACATGGAGTAGATACGGGGTGGCCTGTGGAGCAGGAAGTGGGGCAGCGTCCCAGACAGCACACCGAGAAGGGAAATGGAGAGGGTACATGGGGCACTGCAGTGAATTCAGCACCCGTCCTGAAGGCCATTGGCATTAAGTCGTCCTCTCCCTGGCCTACAGGGGTCAGACAGTGATACAGAGATCCCTTGGCAAAGGGTCACTTGGTCTTTGCCAGCAGCTCTCACCGGAGACCTGACAAACCCATCACACCAAACACATCTCTTGGAGGATGGTCATGTGAGGTGTCTACAGAAAGCTCATACCTGGTCAAGACTCATAATGATAGAGAGATCAACGTATGGGTCATATGTAAGGAACAAAGCATCTATATTGAAAATCTACTTTATGAACTTGGAATGGAAAATGAATCACCAAGAGATAATGGGCCCCGGGACTGGCCCATCCACCCAAGAGGGAGTCGTCATTTCTCACTAGTCAGCTGGCAAGGTAACGCAACGCTCAAGTGACCAGCCTTGCTCCCTCCCCAACTGTCAATGGAAAACCATCAGAGCATCACCAAACAACTGAAACTTATGGGGGGGGGGGGGGGGGTAAGAGAGCTGAAGGTAACAAATTTAATTATCTGAAATCCAAAATATAAATAGTTTAAAGGTACACATTACACATGTATGCGGTGGAGGAGCAGGCCACAGTGTAGCGGGGAGGGGGCCTGTTTGGAGGAGGGGCAGAACTAGGACATGGCTAGACCAGGAGCAGCTGGGGCACAGACCATGTGAGAGATTTCTCTCGGTGGCTCTGTTACCAACTGCCCATGACAAACAATTCAAAGAAGGGGAGGCCGAGCTGGAAATGGTGGCAGAAGGAGGAGGTGGGGAAGGAAAGAAACATTTGAAAGCATGACCATTATTCCCATTCCACCGTAATCAAAAAAGTACAGGAGAGGGGAGCAACACTTCACAATCACCCAGCACCTACGTGGAGAGAGCACTGGACGGGGACTATTCCTGGCTCTGCCACAGGCCTGTTGGGCGACCTTGGGTAAGTCAGAGATAAGGTACATACCAATGTAATCCTAATTCTGACCCACGTGAGCAATGACAGAAGCAGCTTGGACTGGGCAGAATTAAGGTCCCTACAGGATACAGGCAATCGCCATAGGGCTACGAATAAGGCATTTTACTGTATACAGTTCCAGATTAGATTATACCAATTTGTAAAGACACATGAGATCTTTCCCTCATGGTATCAACTTCACTGTGTTCTTTCTTTTATTGATAATTCCCAGAAGTCAATAGATCAATAACATTCTATCAGTTATGAAGTGGCCGTTTCAGATTTCTGGGGAGTGTCTATAATTTTGAACTAGGGGTCAGGTCCTTGGAGAGACGGAGGCTTCTTTTCATTTTAACCTGTGCATGCTCAGCGGCTTCTGGAATTTGGTTCAAAGTATTTCCCTGTTTCCCTGGCCTGTTCTTAAAAGTGCTGCTATAGAAAGTAGGGAGAGGCAGAAACTCATTATAGGATCATAGATATTTATAGCTCATCGGAAGGAGGACAGGGATTGGTGGGTGGGTCTGGGGATTTAATCATAAACACACAAATATCATCGTTCTTAATGAATTTTCCTCTTCTAACTCCCATAAACCACTAAATTATCCCTGGCTGCCCCCAGGAGTCTGGGGAGGGAGTACTAGTAACCTCCTGTGGCCAGTGGGGAAACTAAGGCACAAGGATCTTTCAATGTCTGGCTCAAAGTCACCCACTTCACTGGATAAATCCCTAGCTGTTGGAGTCGCTTTCCCTGGAAGTTTTTAAGAACAGGTAGGACAAACCTCTGTCAGTTTGAGATCCTGAGCAGCCCTACATGTCTGGGATGCTATGCAATATATAGGTATAAAAACACAGCATACAGAAAAACCCCCACCACAACATAATGTCAGGGAATTCAGGAAAAAAACAACCCACCCCCCAAAAAAACACCTACACTCCACAGCATGTCAGTCGTTGATCAGAAGTAAAATCTGAGTGTTTCCCATCAGTATCTGATAAATGAACAGAGGAAAGAGGCAAGATTTGCAATAAATGTCTAGTCACGCTGAAGAACCAGAGAAAAGGGGTAAATCTGAGCTGTGGTTCGTGTTTTATCATTAGAGAGACAGGGCCCATTCAACTAGGAATAGACAACGAGAGAGAAAGTGGCCGGGGGAGGAGGGGGGAATTTTAGGTTATTTTATATCCCTCTTGAGAGTTGTGGTGAAAACGGGTCACAAACTCCGCATTTGGTAACAGGAAAGACAAACCCCCAGACGCGGGATTTTCTGTGGCTATGAAATGAGGGGAGGAGGAGGGGGAGGGGCAGTGTGAAGGGAGTTTATGTGATTGTCCAACACACACAGACAGTGACGGTTCCCCTCCCCCCCATTCACACGAGCCACAGGGAGCCCGGGGGGGGGGGTTTGAAGCGGTCGGGGGGGGGGCGGAAGTCCCTGGAGCAGGGAGGGGGGCAGCAATGGGGGATGAGCAGGTGCAACACACAGAGAGAGACACACACACTTTTCTCCCTCGGGGGTTTCCCGCCCACTGACCCTCCCATCGCTACGGAGGCCGCACCGGGACCCACCCCAGCTTCCAGGCTGGCCCAGGGCGGGGGGCTCGCGGCGGGCCGGGCCGGGCCGGGCCGGGCCTCCCCCACTCGGCTCTTACCGGCTCTCCCGCGGGCCCGGAGCCACCCCCGCAGCGGGCCCGGAAGTGACGGATCCCGTGAGGCGCCGGGCCGAGAGAACGAGACACGTGACAGTTGCGGCCGTTAGGGCCGTTGGAGCGAACCGCGCGCGGCGTTGGTAGGCGGTGCTGCCACTCCCTTGGGGGCGGGGTTCTCCACAGCCCCGCTCCGGGCCCCTGCTGCCGCTCCCGGCCCCGCCCCGCTCAGCCCGCGCTCCCGGATCACAGAGGAATAGCAGCGGAAGTAACTTTAGGCCTGGGGGCGGCAGACGAACGGGGATCGAACGGAGCATGCGCAGTAACAGCTTCTGAAACCTTCCCTTACCTGCGCTAACTAGGGCGGAAGCGCCCCCGGGGTACGCTGGGAGATGTAGTTCCAGACTCTCTCTGGACCGGACGTGACGTCGGGCGGGGGGCTGGGCCCGGCTGCGAACGCGCGGGGGGCGCTGCGACTCTGGCTGGCTCGTGCGGGGCCGTTGGAGCCTCTCCCGGGGCCGGAGAAGAGTTTTGTGTCTCCCGGCTCTGGGCATGCGCAGATCGGCGGGGCTTCCCCCCAACGGACACTGGGGCAGAGTCACCGCCCGGCCCCAGCCCCGCCCCTGGGCAGGAGCGAGTCCGCCCG